CCTCCACTGTGCAGGTGTGTGTTGTGTGTGTACCTCCACTGTGCAGGCGTGTGTTGCTGACTGCGTGTCGGGGACTGAGGCTGGGCGACCCGGGGTAACTGTCCTGGGACTTCGGGGAGCGGACGGTGAGGCAGTGGACCTCGCTGTCCGTTCCGTTCACCATCTCCACAAACTGTCGACACCTGGATCAGGCAGGTGTTACTCAGAACCACTGAGCCATACGGGTCTAAACAGGAAGTCCTGTGTTTCGGGGCAACTATTCAACAACACACCGACTTACTTCAACATGAATAGAAGGTTGGGGTTGCGTTCTAACAGGGCGGGGTAGAACTGCTGAGTGGCGTCTATGGCTTCACCGACCCGTCCTGCCAGAACCAGCTTCTGTATTCCTGTTTTAAAAAATGACACCGGTATAATCCAAACTAAGAAGTCATGAACAGTTCTGGTCTAGTTACTCACTTTGTCTGTTTTTTATTGACGTCTGGTCCTCTTGGATAACGGTCTCCGTGGCTCTGGCGAATGCTGTCGCCGTGGCGCAGTACCCATGATGCACCAGGTAGCTGGACACCATACTAAACACACGCCGCCAGGAAAAACAGTTTGTTAGCCGTGTTTCCAATGGTCTCAACTTTTTGTTTCCTATTTAATGAAGCACCGAAGGCAGGACACACAATGTTTTAGGGACAAAACTGTGCAAAAGTCTTAATCCAGTCCAACACACACGTGCAGTTACCCACAATGTCATGAGGTTTGATCAGGAATGGCTCTACAACCGTCTCTTCTCATCATAAAATGATCTTAATCTAAAGGCTAACTTAGACAAGTGGTGACTGTGAGCAGCATTATTGTTTTGTAGTGAAAGAGCACAGCAGATGCCATCTTTGCTTTGAGGATGATGATGGAGAAATACAGAGAGGGTCAAAAAGAACTTCATTGTGTCTTTGTGGAAAAGAGAACAGGTGGAAGAGAACCTGGAGAGGTGGAGGTATTCAAAAAGCGTTCAATACAGGTGGAGGTATGCACTTGAAAGAAGAGGAATGAAAGTCAGCTGTAGTAAGACAGAGTGCATGTGTGTGAATGAGAGGAAGGCTGGTGGAACAGTGAGGCTACAAGGAGCAGAGGTCAGAAAGGTGCAGGACTTCAAGAACTTGGGGTCCACTGTCCAGGAAAATGGGGTGTGGTAAAGAGATGAAAAATAGAGTCCAGGCAGGATGGAGTAAATGGAGAAAAGTTTCAGGAGTGATTTGTGACAAAAGAGTGTAAAGGTTTAAAAGACAGTTGTGAGAGCAGCTATGTTGTATGGTCTGAAGACAGAGACATGGACAAAAGACAGGAAAAAGAACTGGAAGTGGCAGAAATGAAGATGTTGGGAGTTCTCTTTAAGAGTGAGAAGAATAGATAGGATTAGGAATGAGATCATCAGAGGTACAGCACAGGTTGAACTGGGAGATAAAGTTAGAGAGGCCAGATTGAGATGGTTTGGACATGTCCAGAGGAGGGACAGAGAGGACAGAGGACGCAGAGAACAGAGTGAGATGGAGGACAAGAGAAGAAAACAACTGAAAGAAGAAGAATCTAAAACGCTGTCATGAAAGACAGCAGTGATATGCATTCCTTCAAGGAATAAAATAATCAGAGGATATTTATGTTTGTTTTTATCAACTTTTAATTCGGGCCTATGGATCCTTCAGGCATGTAGAAGCATCAAGGAGTGTAATGTCAACACATAATGTGTAAAAAACAGATGACTAAATCAAATCTATAATCACTTCATTAGACAGCAGCCCGTCACATAAACACAACTTGTTATTTAAAGCAGCAAGGTGGTGTATGTGAAGTCAGGTACCAAAAAAAACAACAACCCACGAGTCATTAAACTCTGATTTTCACTGGTTTTTGGACATTAATGAGGTTGTGGTTTTTGATCTTTTATAACGAAGGAACCAACAGCTGCAGGTTTATTTCTGTAGAAACTAGAACAATGAGTTGAAAAGCTGAACTGTGAGGATTCGGCTGTGACGGCTGGTGTTACGGATCTTACTTCTGCAGGACGGCCTGCCACTCCCCGACACGCTCGCCTATCGGGAAGCTTGCGATCATCCCGTGGATCTTTGCCCGCCACTGGCTCATGTAATCCTCAATGTCGAAGACAAACGGCTGCTGGCCAAAGTTGGCGTCGACAATCTCACCAGGCGTCTGGAGCCCCACAGTGGGGTAGAGGTTGGGCTGTGGACGGTCAGATCAGAAAAGGACAGTTGATCTAAACAACGTAAACATTTGCCTTTCATAAAATAAATCGCTCAAATCTGGAATATAAACTTATTGATTTAAAGTGCATGTGACATCAAATTGTCAAAATAAATATGAATGCATTTTGGAACAATCTTAATTATTTGACTTTTTAATAAAAAACTAATTGCCTCATATGGACACACATTTTGTTCACAGTCCTGTTTGAGTGATTTTATAATAATTTTATGGAATGTGCAGCTCAAACCACATTTTGTTTTGAGGAAAATAAATTATAATCTAAACATATTATTTCTTCAGAAAAATCAAACTTTAAACCATGACACATAAAATGAATTAAAAACCAGCAGCAACCCTGTTCTGCACAAAAGCAAAGCACCTGAACGCATCGCACCACTGACATTTCTCTACGATGACTTTCAGAAAGGGACCATTAGATGAACATCTGCTTTAACCTGATTAAAGATGGCCGCCGCAGCTAATCAAACTTAGCAAATAAAACTATTTTACAAACATGAAGCTGAAATTATGCATGATAGTAGCTGAGAGTCTCAACTATAAACACTTAATAAAGATGGACAAAGTATTTTAGCTCAAACTGAGACAGAGTTGATACTTCTGGAAAAATTTACATA